GGGCTAATGGGGGTGAAGTGGGGGGGAACCAAGGCCCTTGGGGAGGAGAGAAAAGGGAGATTGACACAAAGATGATCAATCCTGCCCTCTCCAAATCTAGCTTTCCAGAGTCATCACCAGAACAAATAATGAATATCATTACGTCTGGTCCTAATATGTCCCCCTTTAGGTGAGTCAAAGGGCTAGCCCTAGACAAAGCTGTAAGCGTGATCACCCTGTTCACATCCCTTTCATTATCTCCCTCATACCAATAGGTTTTTTAAAGCCACATGCTGCTCAAAGCCCTCTCTCCTTAGTGCCTCAATCTCCCTGAATTACCCTCCTGCCACATAAAAACACTTGTAGTTCAGAAGGAAATAAGCTAAACTAATGATAAAGACTCATAGCCTTACGAGAGCATTTACAAAAAGGATTTTATTATTTTATTCAACCCAAATGAATTTCTAATGAGAAAAAATGCCAAAATTCTGTCAAAGTGAGGTGATAATTTCTGAGGGGCAGATTTTTTGAGAGAATGGGGGGAAGGGGAGAGGGTAATAGGGGGGAAACTCATCCAGGTTCTACACTCCCACCAAGAACTTGATCTGCTACTTTTTGAATAGTAGTCTAGACCATAAGTAGACTTATTTTGCCCTATTCAGTGTATAAATTAAATGGAACAATGACAAGATGGTGAAAGCAAAGGTAGAGGAAAAAACAGACTATATAAACACAGTCTTTCAGGAAATTAACTCCCATATCAATTTAAGTGATTCAAGTCATGCTTTGAAAAATAATCCATCAATTTTAAACACATTTTGAGGACCTTATAAGAGTAGAGAATATAAGCTTGACTTACAAAAAATATAAATCCAGATCAAATTTATGATTTGCTGTTTTTTTTTTTTAAAAGGAAAACAAAATCACTTCCCCAAATCTCAATTTGACTACTTTTCAATAAGAATCTATGTTCCATTAAGTGCTAAAGCTAATAACTAAATATGCTAACATGGTCTGTTGGAGTATTTAGTCAAAAGGATACACACTTCTGGATCATTAAAAGAAATACCATTTGGCAAAGAATTGGAAATTGACAGGATGCCCATCAACTGGAGAATGGCTGAACAAGTTGTGGTATATGAATGTAATGGAATACTATTGTGCTATAAGAAATGATAAACAGGCTGACTTCAGAAAAACCTGGAAAGACTTGTATAGTCTGATGCTGAGTGAAGTGAGAAGAAGGAGAACGATGACTAATATTGATAGACTTAACCCTTCTCAGCAATACAAGGATCTAAGACATTTCCAAAGGCCTCATGATGGAAAATGCTATCCACAAAGAAGAAAGAACTATGGAGTTTGAATGCAGATCAAAGCATACTATTTGCTATTTTTTTCTTTTGTTGTGTTTTGTTTCTTCTTTCTGGTGGTTCCTCCTATTGGTTCTAACTCTTCCTTACAACATCACTAATGTGAAAATATGTTTAATAGGAATGTATATGTATAGCCTATATTGGACTGCGAGCCATCTTGGGGAAGGAGGTGGGGAGGGATGGGGAGAAAAATTTAAAACTCAAAAGCTTATGGAAGTGATTGCTGATAATTCTAAATAAATTAATTTAAAAAAACAAGAAATACCATAAAACAATTATATTCCCTTTCACATTATGAAATTAAGGCATTCAAAATATTTTGTCAGAACTTTTTTTCTTTAATCAGAGTAAAGAAACTAGAATCTAACATATGTAAACATATTTGCATACACAAAAAAATAAAGCTCCTTAAATAAAAAGGCTTGGAAGAATGAACTGAATAAAACAAAAGCAAAAAACTCACCTGCTTTATGTGGGAACAAAAGAAATACAAATTTCAAAAATGTAATTTTCTGGGGAAAAAACTTGATCTAAATAATTACACTTATTCTTTTAATAGACTACAATGTTATCTAGGGGCAAGTAGTGGCCCAGTGAATAAAGAATGGGGCCAGGCATCCAGAAGACCCGAGTTCAAATCTGACATCAGACACTTAGCTGTAAAACCGTGGATTAAGTCACTTAATCTGTTTACTTCAGTTTCTTCAGCTATAAAATGAGGATAATGATAGCACCTATTTCCCAGGGTTGTAAGGATCAAATGAGTTACTACTTGTATAACACTTAGCACAGTGCCTAGCACACAGCAGGAACTTAATAAATGCTTGTTTCCTTCCTTATTTAGTTATAAATGTCTTGAATAATTCACATAGCTCTAACCATTTGAGGTTTCCCTGGGAAACTAATAAAAGCATCTTGATAAATCTTTCTATCAGTGTATTAGTCTTTAACTTTCTCGAAGAAAAAAGTTTTAAAGTCATTCAGCTCATCTTTATCCTCTATCAATAAAATTCTGTCATTTCTTCTTTCAAAAGGTCTCATGGATTATTCTCTAATGACACTGCTATTGTCTTAGCCCCTCATCATTTCAAATCTAGCCTGCCTCTATCTCCTATTCCTTAACCTTTCCTGCATACTAGGGTCAGACTAATTTTCCTAAAAGGCCACTCTTAACATATCACTTTCCTACTCTTGAACCTACTTGGGATCCCTATTGCCTATCATATTCTGGCTCAAAACATATGTCTAGCTTCTAGGGCCTAACTTACCCCACTTGATTCAAGTATCTTGTAATGGAAAGAGCACTGGACTTGGAGTCAGAAGACAGGCTCAAATTTAGGTTCAACTACACAGTACCCAAGGGACCCTGGGCAAATTCCTTTTCCTCTCTGAGCCTCTAATTCCTAAACAGTAAAACAACAGAGTGAATCAGATGATCATTTTAGTTCCTTAAAAAGCTCAATTTCCATACATTATATTTATCCATTCTTAGATCTTTTATTCATTCTGTCCATCCCTAAACTTCTCATTAACTCCAACCTATCCCTTGAGGTCCAGTTCAAATGTTATCTCCTCCAAGAAACCTCCCCTACTACTCTCTCAAGTGTTACTGCATGGCCCCAACATAGGATCATAAGCTAGATATAGAACTGAAAAGGACCTCCAAGGTCATCTAGCCCAACCTCCTCACCTTACAGATGAGGAAACAAGAGGTCCAGAAAGATTCGGTGAGTTGTCCAGGGTTCACAAAGGCAGAGCTGGGATCCAAAGTAAAGTCCTATGGCTCCAAGTTCAATGAAAAAGTTCATCGCTTTTTCCATTTCATCAGCTGTTTCAAAGATTAGTACTTGTTGCCTAATTATTTCATGTCTGGTAGTCTTATTTCTACAATCAGACTATCAACTCCTTGTAGGACGATCTCATGCTTTAAGTTTCTCTGTGGTGCCAAACATTGTACTTGGCAAACAGTAGAAATGCAAATGGTCATGTAATGTGTAACCATATTTAAACATTCAGTTTAAAATCAGGTGTAGAAGTTTTTATTGCTTTCTTAACCTGGGACCCATACATATTAAAAAATCTGATAGCTGTATTTCAACATACTGGTTTTCCTTTGTAATCTTACCTACTTATATGCATTTGAAAACATTGTTCTGCAAAGGGGTCCACAGGTGTCATCACAGAGCCAAAGGAGTGCAAGGCAAAAAAAAAGAGAATAAAAATCTCTGTACTAGGGGTTTTCATATCTTGAAATCACAATGCTAATCACATGCATACACAAACTATACAGTAAAAAATACAGTATGTTTCATACTCAGGCAGAAAGCCATAAACTATATATACATACATGTCATTTTTTAACCTATTTCAATCCTATCAACTACATTCACCTTGGAAAATACAATGGCATTCTTAATCAGTGTTCTTAAGTTAGGAATTATCAATAACAGAGGCACCTGACTTCAAAAAACAACCAAAATCCACATGGATGTTCCTCTTGGGAATTCCTCCACATCAAATCACCAATTAGAGATTAGAGTTCTGATTAGAGTTGTTTGACATTGTTTGCTCGGGGGCCTTTGCACTTCTCCAATATTTTAATCAAAATATTGGTAATTAAAAAAAACATTTTAAACTGTGTTAAATATTTTGAACTACTTAACTACATTAAATCTAAGATTCCAGGGCGTTGTGTTTTAAGCTACTGAAATACAGACTGAGATTCCAGACCGTTTTTAATGGTTAAAATCGAAATTACTTAAAAATGAATCTCTCTTCCAAGCTGTCTGTGTGTGTTTTAAAATCACACAGCAAATAGTTTGGGACACTTCTGTTTTCAAAGAACTTCAAAAGGCAACAAGAAAAGAAAAACAAAACAACTCTTTGTTATCTTTATATTTAAGTCACCTAAGAAGGTACCACGCCTGAGTACTGTAACAGAAGAACTTTTCAGAAAATACACAATGAGGGTTTTCAAAGGTGCAGTCAGCAAATTTTATGCAACTATTCCAAGTTTCTCTCTGGCAAAACAAAAGCTTAACTTAAAAAAAAACAAAAAAGATGCCAAAGTGCCAAAAGAGAAATCCAGTGTGTAGGCACAGAGCACTATCAAAAGCAAGTTCACTGATCTTTAAAGGGCCAACCTCAAACACCTTTAGTGTTTCCCCTCCCGACGCACAAACGTTTTGGATTTGGGTTTTTTTTTTTTTAAACACCCTGCAGATGTCAGCTCCACCCAAAGAATCAATTAATACGTGACAGCGGGTCTCGGTTTCTCCCCCGCTCGCCCAGCCAGGCTGCTGCCCGGGGGAGCGGCCCGGCCGCCTCGCCCCGGCCGCTCCAGGTGCCGGCCCTGGGACAGCAGAGGCGGCTTCCTCAGTAGCACAGACCCCTTCCTTCCCCACTCCCTCCCCACCCCGCCCCCAGCCAAGAGGCCCGGAAAGAGCGCCGCCCCGCGCTCGCGCTCACGAGACGGAAGGGAGCCGGGAGCTACGAGGGGGCGGCGGCCTGGAAGGGGAGTCAGGCCCAGCAGGAGCGGCGAGAGAGCGGCCCCGGGGCTGGGCAGTCGAGGGTTCAGGAGGAGGCCTCCGCACCTGGATGAGCGGAGGGGGCAGCCCGGGGTGCGGGCGGTGAGAGGTCACTCACCGGCGGCTCATGATATAGCGGCGCCTCCCCAGCTGCAGCTCCAACAGCCTAGAGCCTCTCCGCGAACCCCAGAGTGCGGCCCCCAAGCAGCGCCATTCAAAAGCGGCCGCGCGGCCAGCTGGGATAGCAACTCGCCCCGCTCCGGCCCCGCCCCTCGAACGGAGAGGAAGGGAGGAGCCCACATTTACCAGGGCTCCAGCGCCCCACTTCCCGCTACATCGCCCCCTGGTAGTAATCTGTGCGCACTGCAAGCGCTTTGTTCCTTTGACTGTTTCCTAGGGCTGGAGCACTGGATCAATTGTACTCAATTCAATAAACATTTGCCAAACGCCTACGTTACACTTGGCCCTGTGCTAAGCGCTGGGATAAAAAGAGGCAAAAAACAGTCCCTGCCCTCAGGAATTCACAATCAAATGGACCCCCTCATCCCTAAATTCCCTGTTGCAACCTTCGCATCTCCACACCATGATATGATAATGCATCAGAATAAAACTTTTGTTCTATTGATACTCATGAGTTCTTCCCTATGCTCCACTTGTGGGAACGTTTTCCTCAAAGATTATAGGATCATCAGTTTGGAGCTGAAAGGGACCTTAAAATCTCTAGTGCAAACACCTCATCTTACAGATAAGAAAATGGAGACTGAGAGGTTCAGTGATTGGTCCAGCGTTACACAGCTACTTAGCTGTAGTAGGAGGTGGGGTTTGAACGCAAAACACTCCATCTGTAAAATGATGCCCCTTAAGTGGAACTGACCCTAAACATGATCCTGAAGTAAGCAGAAATTCTCCTTGATGATCCTTCAACCTACATGGAGAACTTATCAAAAATTAACAGTATTTTAGTGCTAGAAGAGAGCTTGGAGATCATTTGGTCCATCAACTGCATCTTATAACTGAGGGAATTGAGGTCCAATAAGATAAAGTGACTTAAGACCCAGAAAATAGTAATGAACCATCAGAAGAAATATTTTGGGGTAAGGTGAACTTTCCTAAAGTCCCACAAATCAAACCAATTAACCATTCAGCCTACACCGAGGACCATCTTTACTTTCAAGAGGAGTTAGTCTGAATGGGCAACAGAGGAGTGGATAGTATAGGGATATAGATTGGGTTAATAGCTCCTGTCATCAAGTCATCCTCTGGGTTGCTTTTGACAATTCATTCCAAAAATACCTCAGTGATTTCAGTATAAGAAAATGATCTCAAATGAGAATGCAACTTCTCCATACCCTTACCCCAAAAGACATAAAACCCTGTACTAACTCATACCTGGGAGAGACTTCTAAATTTCTCTTTATATCCCCTAGCCTAGTACTTTGCACATTGTTGGAACTTGTTTAATTGAGTAAAATCGAGTTGAAATTGAAAAGACTGAAATTGGGAGATGGAAGTGGAAGATGATGAGTTTGGTTTTGGACACCAGTTAATCAAACAGTATCTATTAAGCACCTAATATGTGACAGACATTGTGGCATACCCTAGATACAACAATAAAAATGAAACAACCTCTGCCCTTATGGAGTTTATGTTCTTTTGGGAGGACAGGCAACCTCTAAACATATAAATATATACAAAATAAACACAAGATAATTGTGGGGGAGGAGAAGCACTAGCAACTGGGGGAGTCAAGTAGGTCCTCATCTTGAAAGAGCTGAGGTTTGAAGAAAATTAGAGATTTTAAAAGGCAGAGGTGAGGAGAGAGTACTTTCCAGGTATGGGCAGCAGCTTATATAGAAGCACAGATGTGGGAAATAGAAGGCCACAAGTAAGGAAAAACAAGAAGACCATTTTATTTGGATTGTAGAGTACATGATGATAAGATTGGGGCCAAGTGGTGAGTAGCTTTAAATGATAAACAGAAGAGTTTGTATTTGATTCTAAAAACAAGAGGGAGCCACTGGAGTTTATTGAGTAGGGGAGAGACACAGACTAGTGCTTTAGGAAAAGTACTTTGACATCTGTGTGAAGGATAATGGATTAGAGAGGAGAAGATGAGAGAAAGAGAGAGAGAGAGAGAGAGAGAGAGAGAGAGAGAGGGAGAGAGAGAGAGAGAGAGAGAGAGAGAGAGAGAGAGAGAGAGAGAGAGAGAGACTAGGGAAAAGGAACCAATTGGGACATAGGCCAGGCAACAGGTGATGACAGTTAGCATTATGGTGGTGACTGTGTCAGTGGAGGGGGATATGTGAGTAATGCTGTGAAGACGGCCCATAAAACATGGTATTTGGGCATGTGAGATGAGGAAGAAAGAGTTGGTGATGACACAGAAATTATGAACCTAGGCACCTTCCACAGAAATAGGGAAATTCAGAAAAATAGTATATATGGGGGAGGGGAGAAAAAATAATATCTGCTTTAGACATGAGTTTGAGATCCTACAGAACAACTATATGATATATTGAGTTTGAATGTGATATGACATAAAAATTCAAAGAAGACAGGTGAAAATGTAGGTTTTGAGCTCAAAAAAGCCATTGGATGTAAAGCTTATACTTAGCCCTAAAAAAGTGAATGATAAAGAAATGGAAGTGGGTAAAGGAGAAAGTGCAGAGAGAAAAGCACCCAGAAACAAGAGGAATACCCACACTTAAGAGGGTAGAAAGAGGAAAAGGAACAAGCAACAGTGGCTGAGAAGGATTAACTAGAGAAAAAGGAGAGTCAGAAAACTGAGGAAGGAGGCATAGTCAACCGGCATGGAATCTGCATCAAGGTCAAGGAGAATGAGCAAAGAAACAGATTATTTAATTTGGTGATTAGATGACCTTGGAAAGAACAGTTTCTTTAGAGTGGTGAGGTTGGAAGCCAGAATGAAGGAGGTTAAGGAGAAAGTCTGTCACCATCATTAAAAAACATGATTTCATCCTGACAGCGTTCTAGTGTTCATGCATTGTAAGTCAGGCCACCAGAGATATTTATGTTTTGCCAAGTTTTAAAATAGTCATACATGAAAATCTTTATTAGACCAACATTCAGCTAACTTACCATCTGGTACCCCAATTATAAAGTACTAGATAGCCCTGACTACTCAGAACCAAAAACAAACAACAACAATAAAACAAAACAAATAAACAAAACCAAATCCTGATTCCTTAGTAGGAGCTGGCTATGAGATCAAAACTATTATTAAAGGTTGTGCTTAAGTTTTGGACAACCTGCTCAAGAAATTTTTCTGATCTCTCTTAGTTTGGGGTAGATTTGCTCTTGCCACAACTAAAGTATATGAGTTATCTCTAAGGCCTTCCTAAGGTACATTGTTAATAAATGAGATTTATTATTAGTCCCTTTGGCACTGACCTACACAGACTAGGAATTGTGGGCATATCTTGAAACCTTGGAGAATGTGGTTGATGTGGAGAGTTCACTTAGAGAGGATTATCATCCCTCTGAGCTCAGAAAGGCACACAAAGGTGCCTGGTTAAATTCCCAACCATCCTTGAAAGCCTGGTCCAAGTGAGAAATCAGCAAAGACGGCAAAGTAAGAGGAAGCTGTATTGTGTAACCCTCCAATAAAGCTACTCCAACAGATACCTAGAAATAGTGCCAAACTGAGTATGATCAGGAAATCTAAGCAGAAAACAGAATTAGTCATTTTTCTAGCTCAGTTCAGAATAAAGAGACAGAAATCTATGGGCATTGGGGATGAGGTCTAGACAGGAAGGTGCCATGCAGAACCTTCCAGCCCAAAAACTAAACTAAAAGCCTGAACTGGTGGTCTACTCGAGCAAGAAGCAGTTGGGTTAAAGCAGAAACTGGCCTGAGGGTTGTGCAGGGAACAGAAACAGGAACAGGAACCAACTGGCAGCTCTAGACAAGAGCCTAGGGAGGGGTGACCTATGCTGCATACAATGGCAAGGAGGGGTCATAGGCCTAAGGACGTATCCTTAGGCTAGAAGCAGATGAAAGCAGCAAGTGGCTCTGACTTTAGAGACTTAGATTTGCCTCCTACCCTGGTTTATCTATGACTGAGAAGGGCAGAGAACTCAGACCAAGGGAAGGCCTGAAGCTATGTTATTTTGAGTCTCTGTAGCCTTGAAGCTACCTGCCAGGGCATGGGGCCAGTAGCATTCTATTAGAGGTCCAACCAGGGGTCCATCTATAGCCATGTCATCCAGACCTAAATCTGAAACAGGAGATCTCAAAGCTCAGACCAGGAGGGCAGTATTCAGACTTTACCCTAGATTAAATTGCTTAGGTACACTGGAAGTTTACAGGTCACCTTGAACCACCCTTGAGATCTTTGAGGAATGCAACATTCAGTAGCTAGAGAAAGCAGCATCAGGATCCCAGGGAATACAGATCAGGATGAAACGAGGTCCAGATGTTCCCTAAAAAAATACAAAGAACCTGGACCTAACACAAAGTCCCACTTTGGGAAGAAAAGCTGGAAAAATGAGTATATATAAAAAGTCTCTGAGGATAAAGAGCTGTGATGGAAATAAGGACTCCAAAGACACAAATCCAGAAGAAGAAAATGATTCCAAACTATGCACATGCAAAGCCTCAAAAAAAAACATAACTTAGACACAAGGTCAACCAGAATTCCTAGAATAAGTAAAGGAAGATGTTTTTTTTTTTAAGAGTTTCAATGATTTTATAAATGAAATGAGAGCACTTGAGGAAAAAACTGGAAAATAAATGAAAGTTTCATAGGAAAGAAGAATTAATAAAAGTATAAGAGGTTAAAAAAACAAACAAATCTTGTCTGAGTAATAGACTCCTTAAAAATTAGAATGGACTAAGGATATGAACAGGCAGTTCTCAGATGAAGAAATCAAAGCCATCTATAGCCATATGAAAAATGCTATAAATCACTATTGATTAAAGAAATGCAAATCAAAACAACTCTGAGGTACCACATCACACCTACCAGATTGGCCAACATGATAAAACAGGAAAATGATAAATGTTGGAGATGTGGGAAAATTGGAACACTAATGCATTGTTGGAAGAGTTGTGAAATGATCCAACCACTTTGGAGAGTAATTTGGAACTATGCCCAAAGGGCTATAAAAATGTGCATATCCTTTGACCCAGCAATAGCACTTCTAGGACTGTATCCCCAAGAAATCATGCAAATGGGGAAAGGACCCACATGTAGAAAAATATTTAT